TTTTTTTTTTTTTTTGTTTTGACGTTTTCATAAGAAACATTAATACTCGTTGAAACTCAGTACATCAATAGACAAATTGATACTTACCCCATGGAGGCATTGCCCCACGTGGTGAAAATGAATTCCATCTCCAAATAAAAATTGACTTTTTAAAATCTTGATTACTTGTACTTCTCCAAGACACTATATTATTTTTTGAAGTCATCACATTACATGAAAGTACATACTGTAAAGTAATTGCACACATGTTCGAGCAAAATAACCAAACACAAGTGTATTCAGTAAATAAAGTTGCCTAATTCTCATGACTTTTAGAGCAACTTCTTCATGCTTAGAGGGGTTGTGTTAAATAAATAAACTTTTAGCCAAAGAAGCTATGATACAAGATTAAATCAAGACAAGGGATGTGAGGACCGCAAAAAGAACTGAGCCATAGCTTCTACACCTTGTTATGAGGATGTACGCGTCTTTTTGTTACCGATATTTGAATTCCAATTGATAAATTCCTTGTTCGAGAGCTCATACGTGCCACGCCTTCTTCATATACGTGTATTGTGGAGAATCGAATGTAATTGCACGTTAAGATGTGTCGATATGTTTAAGTTCATGTCTAACATATTTTCTATACAGGAGCATAAATATCTGGTGTTTGTTTGGGAGAACCGTAGTAAAAGTTCGTTACTTAAATGGGTTTTTGCAGAACTTGAAAGATGTTTTTCAGAACCAACTATTCATGAGCTCTTTCTAAATGATGCCTTAAAGTAATGCTTTAAGTAGACATTAAAAAATTCATATGAAAAGCATTTCCAAACAAGCACCTGGTCTTTAATGGTAACATGCTATATGAGATTGGCATTAACAGTTCAATTCTCACAAAAATAACAAGATCTCGAAATCTGTCATCCGGAAGAACATAAGGACTGAATGGAATAAATTCGTAACAAAACTGAAACAATTATTAATTCAGCTTCCCAGTCAAAAACTTTTATACTACCCAACCGAAATATGGAAATAATTGATAAAATTCATGCGTACTAAAGCCGAGCAAAACTGCTCTGCCTCTGTAGCTATGTACTATCATACTAATGAAACAAAAAAAAAAAAACATTTTGAAACCCGCAAGATTTATTCGTCATAAGTCCGTGCATTCTTGTTAGCCTGAAGGCCAAAATTTATTCCCTGTGATCCAAGAATTTGGCAACGCGCTCTGCTTTTGCTCCCGATTTGTTGTCATAATACTCTACAACGGCAGCCCCAGCCAAGGCAGCGAGTGTAAGTGCTTGAGCATGCAACCTGATGTTCGAGCATTAGTTTCACAAGTATTATACATGGGGCAGAGTAACGAAATTAAAAACTTCTTGATGAATTTCAAAAGCTAGCCTTAAAAAGCTTCATCCACTTACACAAACACAAACACAAACAATCACAAATTAAAGGCTAAGTTTCAAAATTAACCTAAATTTGACAGATTTGGATTTTGCACAACCAAGGTGAAAGAGTATGCAAGCCTAAGATAAGTACAGGTACTTTTACGAGCACAGCTTCTTGATTCAACTTCTATAAAATGTGATAGCGTAAACAAATCGGCCTCACGAGAAAATGATGTGTTCATAAACTCGGGCCACAGTAAATTACTTTTAAGCTAATCAAGGGCAATGTCTCCACAAATTAATATGTTCAACTATAGAGCCTTTAGACCAGATTATTACCACATCAACAAGATTACAAAAGTAACCTATCAGCATTATATTTGTAAAACCACAATCACCACCGAAATCAGCCAAGCGTCATGGCTATAAAGATATTAAGCTCAAACCCAAAAAAGCAATCACCAAAACATAACAACACTAAAAGGAGTAAATTATTGATTTCACCATGAAACCCCAGCTAAGAATTAAGTACAATGAAACTGAGATTGCACGTAGTTTATGGGGGTCTGAACCAGACCTTGGGCTGGCACGATACTGTTTACACTTTACACCTTCAAGATCCTAAAATGCACATGTCAAAACAGCTCGGGTTATGACAACTGAAGAAAAACAATGTTTGTCTTTTCGCCCACTTCCTTGTTCAAAATATTCAAGCTTCGACTTAGTTTTGACATATCTCCCTAATCATCTAGCCACAAACCTCAAAGGCAATACCATGATCTCAAAAAACACAGACCTAAATCTTACATGAAAATTTCCGAATTCCGAGTCAAAAAAATCGTCAAGGAAATAGAGATTTGCGTAAGACAATGCAGCTAAAAGAGAGGCGGGTAGAGAAAAATAAACAAACCCCGGCCTCAGGACACACAGATTTGAATATAAACACATTATTACAACCAATTCTCCAAATATTTTATCAGTAAATGACCAACATATGCACAGAATTAGCTTAAGAAAAACTGAAAACCCTCATCAAATCCAAATATATACACTTTTTTTTTCCTCATTTCCATTAGAACTGAGAACATCTGCAGAGAATCGATCGATACCTTGCATGAATAATCTTAACACTGGTTTTCATATTGGGTTGAGACCAGTTATACGCAAGAGAGCCCACGATCCCACTCGCCCATAGCGCCCCTAAAAATCAAAAAAAATTGATAAAGAATGTCAATAAAAATTCGATCTTGATTGTTGGAAAAGAACCATTATCGATTATCGACAGCACAAAACGAAATCGAAGCCCGAAAAAGAAAAGCCCATTTCAATACCGACGGTACGAAGCTTGTGCTCGACGACCCATTCCCTGAGAGATTCAAGCTTGCCTTTCTCTTCTGCCATTTTCGCTAATTTTTTTTAATCCTTTCTGCCTAATTTCTACACTCCTTTTCCTTATAGGTAAGTTCAGGTTCACGTTGGGTTCGGTCTTTGGTGGCTTTCGCTGTTTGAGGGAGAATTTCAACACGTTACCGTGAGAACCTGAAACAAAACTATGGGCTTTGTTTCATTGTTTACTAGTACGAGTCCAGTACACGGCTAAGAGATATTTATTAATATTTATAAATTAAAATTCGTATTAAATAATATTATATATAAATTAAAACTATGGTATCAATATGTAATACTACCTTCTGTTCATTATAAATGTCGTTTTGACTTTTGTGATTCATCCATTTTGTTATGTATCTAGACATTAATATGTCTAGATACATAACAAAATGGATGAATCAAAAAAGTCAAAACGACATTTATAATGAATAGGAGGGAATACAATTTATCTATATTAATTTATTGAAAATATTATATAAAGTTTAAATCGTGCAAAATTACATAAAAAATTGTCTATTTAAAATTTGTACACAATTCGTGTGGTGCACATAACTGATAATAAATTACATTATATTTGTTTCAAAATAAGTGTCATTTCAAAAATTATATTCAGAAATTCGATTTGACTTTCCATAAAATATTTATTTTGGTAAAATTTTATCATATATTTAACAACCTATGTGAATAATAAGTATAAATATATAATTTATATTGTTTAATTACTTAAAATAATTTTATTTTTAAAATAAATAAATTATAAATAATTGATTATTTCGTTTACGTCTAAGTTAATATCGACCCGTAAGTTACTGAGTAATTTATTAAACTATAATTAATTGACTATTTCGTTTATGTCCAAGTTAATATCGATCCGTAAATTATGAATAATTATTTTTTTTATTCTTAATTTTAAATATTTTTTTTTATTTTTTCAAGATATTATCCACCAAATTTAAACAATGCAACTAATAAAGGCAATAGCCCCAAGTTTTGTCAATATATTATATTTCAAATTTAAATCATGCAACTAATAAAGGTAATAGCCGCAATATTTGACCAAAATAATTATATACATTAATTACATTGATTTAGACCGAAATTTTCAAATTTTGGCTAAAAATATTACCCAATTTATTGGTGAGAAACTAAATATCTTTTTTATTAATTTTTAGTTACTATTTTAAGCAAATATCATTATCTCTTTATATTTTAATAGATAGAAAAAAGGGGAAAATGAAAAAGGGAAATGGACTTTCACCGTGTCACGGTACACGTGGCTAATGACATAGCTCTTTGGGCCTAAGTTGAGGCCCAATTACTAAACTAATGACATAGCTCTTTGGGCCTAAGTTGAGGCCCAATTACTAAACCAAAATGACAGTCCAATACTCGTTCGTTAATAGTACCATCAAAGATGGTCTAAAATAAATTTTAATTATTAGGTTAAGTTGCATTGAGTCGAGTGGAGTCAAAGATGGTCTAAAATTTAACCAAACACGAGCACGATTGTGACCTAACCTATCTAGCATTAAAAAAAATATATATATAAAAAAAATAAAAACTATCTAGCATTACTAAAGGTAACTGTGCATGGTTTTTAACACGAATGTAAAGGCTGTTGAGAGAGCGAAAAAAATTAAATAATAAACTTGGATTCTCCATGTTACAGTACAATAAAAATTACAGAGGAGTGCAAAGTGTAATAATATACAGTGCTTTCACCCTGTTCCACAAGGGGGATTATACTTTCATCATATCAAAATAATGCCCCAACTGCTAACTCACATCAACCTCGCTACATCGTGAAAAATCAATCTGTGTTCTTCGATGGTATCTGTTCGTTTGTTATGAGAGAAAACAACTCGACTTCAGAATGCTTCACTCGGCTCTCAACTTCAAGATCTCCTTAGCCGTCCGTCTCCTAAAATATGGCATGTCACTCTGAAAAAAGATGAAGAAAATGATGATCGATAAGCATTAAAAAAACAGATGCTTATCATGATCAAAGATGGAATTAAAAACTACGGGACAGATGAAAAAAAATTCTGCTGTTATGCTACCTAATGATGATTAATCAGTCATACTTTCTTACAAAAATGCACAGTATAATAAGAAATGTAAATACTTTTATGATACGAGTATGAAAGTATGTAAATTCGTTAAAAATGTATAGCTGTCCAATGGTTAGACAGCCGAATAACTGCATTACACGGTGATACAGATAACCACATACATTTCAAAATTATAAATGCCCACTAAAATGTCTTTATAAATGTCGAGCTATATAATTTTTCCTTAGAAATATAGATACCAAGAGCCATTGAAGTTTTGAAGATTAATTGAATTTTACACATTAGTAACGGCAGAAATCGGGTAGGTTTTTCAGTTAATACTTAATAGCTAGAGTGTTGAGTTATTTTTGACATGCCCACTCAACGGAGCATAGAATTTTAGTTGCAGAAAAGAGGGCATATCATTCGCACAAAGAGGATATTATTATGAAATTAGAGAAAGACAATTTGTATCCAATAGAAGGCCTTTTGGGTTCTTCCAAAAATAAAGGGGTGAAATTATAAGAGACGAAGACAATGGGTCGAACAACTACTAGAGTTGAGATTTGAGAAAAGGAAAAAAAAAAAAAAAAGAGGAAAAAAAAAAAGAGAAGAACATGAAAAGAAATACTTTCACTCCCAGGTTGTCAGTTTTAAGAGCCATAAGTTGCCAGAAAACCGCCGGGCTCGGATCAAGGAAAAGCACAAGCTAATTGAAAGTTTGGTTAGAGCAATTATACATATTGTGAAGTTTACCTGGTTAAAACATAGTCCAATATCCCTACTATAGAAGTCCATATACTTGATCATGAACATTCCACAGTCGAACCTAATTGAAAAGGCCAAAACAGAGGAAAATCAACACATATCACCAGCATTGTTTAATTTTGAGCAATGAAATGATTCTAACAGTCTAGCTTAAAGTTGGGAACTGAACAAACTGAAAAACACTCATGGAAAGGACTTTTATCAGTCCAAGTCCCGAAAGATAGGTAAACTATCAATTGAAGAATGCCGTCCCACAATCACAAAGCAGTATTACATATTAAATTAGTAACTACTAATGTACATTGTATAACCCAAATCGGGACTTTTTCTTTTTCCTTTTATATGAAGCCAAACCACGAGGTTAACTAGATTCAATTTTTCGCCTCAAGAATGTCAATATTCCAGGAAGAAAATAATAATATAATACTTATGCAATTTACCCATTTTCTTGCTCTGGAAGGTTTGTGACGAATACTTGTTCCCATGAACTGACATCAATATCTTTTCCAATTTTATCCTTCACCTCATCAACATAGTACCTAGACTGCATTTGTAAGACCACATAAACGAGTCAAATAAATAATTCTGACAGTAGAAAAAAGTTTACTAAGCACAGGAATCAGGATGCAAGCATACTAGTGCACTCATCACTTGGCTATCAAAACCTTTGAGTGAATCGAGATACTCAAACTTTTTATCCTTATTATTGATGATTGCCAAACACCAATGCGCTACTTGATGGATAGGCACAAAAATCTACAATAAAATTACATGTATTAGATAGATTCTGGAGAGAGGAAAAACGACAGACTAGCATGTGAGCTTAAAAGGTTAAATGCCCAAGAGTTTACTTTCTCACAATCTAAAAGGTGATATCCGAGCTTCTTCTGTGTGGTCCATCTTCTAACAGCTTGGAAATTGTAGCCATCTATTCCACTTATCAGCTGAGAATGAACAAATAAAAACAAAGCATTTATAATTGCAAATTGTCAAATTATGATATGATTGATTATGATGCTTGACTAATATTTCAATCTACAACATATGTTCGCAATTTCACAAAATGAGTATTTAGGGAGTAGATACCTTCTTATAGAAGAAAGTATTAAAGAAATGACATTTCAAAAACTTCTGAGGCTCTCTTTCTTCCCTTTCTTTCAACAAATAGAGATACAAATTAATGACCTGCAAAGTACAAAATAGGCACAAAATCATGCCATAATTCAATAGGTCTTCTGCACTTCATTCCCAAAAAAGAAAAAAGAAAAAGGAAGATAGAAACATAAGGGAGACAAAACTGAACCTCATCATTAAGCCATTTTTGCAGCCTCAAACACTGCAATTTCTCTCCTGAGATATCAATATTAGAATTGTCATGGCTCACCACAACCTTTTCCCTACAGCAGTCGCGTAATAACAACGTACACAGATGAGAAGGTTGAAATCCATAATATAGTAAAATTTCCAGTTATAGAAAAAACTATACCAATTGAAATTCGACAATGCAGAAGCAACCAACTCTTCTTCCTCATCCGTAATAGGCACAAAACATTCGCCAACCCGATCCTGCTTATGAACCAAACCACAACATTCGAATATTTTCGTTATTACACAAAGACATACCCAACAATAGAAACCGGAATCCAATCAGACAATTCATGTCCTCAATACACAAAAAGCAACATGAGGTAAAAAAAAAAAAAAA